ATTTTAATAATTGATTTTCTTTGATAAGGTTCTATATGCCATTGTTCATGATGTTCAAATGTTTTTATTATTTTAGTTTTACGATTTTTATATGATAATAATTCAATAATTAAATTTTCATCACTTGTAAAAATTTCATTTATATCTATTGAATAATTATATGGATTAAAAAAATTTATAGTATATTCAAATGTTGAATTTAATGGTATTGTTGCACCAATTAATGGACGTATATGAAATGGATTTAATACACCAATACCATTAACCTTATAGAAAGAAATGACAAAAAAAAACATTCGAAAAAAAAATATTATTTTTAATTTCTATTTACATAATAATATACAGTTCGACGATTAGTTTTTATTGTAAATGTACTTTTTATAGTGCCAAGCGTTCGTGGTAAATAATATACATTTATGGATGTATTACCACCATTTGGTGAAAGAATTTTTTGTGTAAAAAATGATGAATAAAATTGAACTGTTGTTCCAGATAAGGATTGAAGTTCGAGTGGTTCGGAATCATCATTAATTATTGTAACAGTTTGTACTCGTGGTATAGCGGTAAATCTATACAAAAAAAAAATTTTTGTTTTTTATCAGAATGAATTTATTAAATGAAACTTACTGTTCTCCAAAATCGAGTAGAGGTGGAATAAAACGTATCGATGATGATGATGATGATGATGATGATGATGATGATGCTGTTGTTGTTGTTTCTGCATTTGATGATGATGATGATGATGATGGTGATGTACAATTATTATTTCGTAAGATTTCATTATTATGTGTAGTCTTCGAAGGTTTATTAATATCAATTTGTTTTATATTTGTATGATCATCATCAAATGATGTTAATAATGCAATAAGGAGTTCTTTTTCTTCATCATCACTTGTACTTTCTTCGATATTCTATAGAATCATTTTTCATTAAAAAAGTCAAACAACAATGAGAAAAAAACAAAGAAATCCTACTGCAAATCGAGGATCAGATGGCTTAACAACATGAATTGAATCAATAGACAGTTGAATAAATGCTAGAAAAATAAAGATTAAAGAATAGTTTCAAAAAATTGAAAAAAAAAAGAAGATTATTTCTAACCTTCATTTTCATGATTGTTTAAAGCATTAACAATAGTAAAAAACGCTGTGCATATATGTAATAAAAAGAGACTGTGTAAAAAATAAAGAAAATGATTTGATGATTGTCTATTTGTTCGAATTATTATTGAGAACATTATTAATAATTTGGTTGTTAAGTAATGGATGAAATTTGCTTTTTCTTCAAAAAATAGGAAATAAAATATAATCTACGAAATAGAAACGAAAACATGTCGTAGAGTAATATTGTCTTTGATCACTACATTGATTATGAATAGCAAATAAAACAAGGTCAATGTCGCTTCTGTATAAGAAGGATAAAAAGCAAATGTATGTGCATTGAGGCGTAACATAAATTAGTTATATGTATAAATATGTGAGTATGTATACATGTGTTCTGTTCTGTTGTGTGAGTGTCGGCTTCGGAAAACTTCTTGTTTAATGCCGATTGGATTATACTACATAACCAATTGGTAAAAGAACTTTGACAGGTAGAATGATGAGGGCGCTAGTTAATTTATATAGTCGTATTTTTAAAATAAATTCTAAAAGAAAAACAGTTAGGATATAAACGTAACTAAGGATACAGTCTGTCAAGGATGCTCAGCATAATGCGTCACAAGTAAACACAAAAATAATCGTTAGCAGTGCTCAGTTTGTTGTCTTGGCAATTGTGCAAATAATTGATATTTTTTTTATCTCATCCTATTAGTAGAGTGCAAAAAAAAAAAATAATTTTAACTTCAACCATAAAAAATCTGTTGCCTTTTTAATGCGAATATTGTGATTCATGATGTGTTCGTAGAATGAATAACAATGTGCCATTGTCAAGATTTTTAAACAAATGTAGTCTATCGTTTCGTAAAAAAATTACATTGTATGTTGACAAAAGTATGTTGATTTGAAACAGTGGCGCTCACTACATAGCACATCCGAATCCTTAGAAGTGTCTAAAAATCATCGTAATTGAATAAATAACACTAACCTTGTCCTGTGTGAATTTTATGCACTACTTACAACATCAATATACTTTCTTTCAATAAGACACTGCATAAAAAGTACAAAAAAAAAAAAGGATAGTCGCATCTGTCAAATAATGACGTATTTCAAGGTTAAATCTCATCTTAACTATTGCAAATGGGAAATTGCACAACAATAGACTTGCACATAGTGATGAAATTTCGTATAAATTTAGAAAGAAAAAATAGGAAACTTTTTTCAAGGTCGAATTTACATTAAGACAGAATACTGAATTTCTTCTTTTCAATAAACATTATACATACTTAAGATCTATTCACGTGTCTTGCGCTTGTGTCAACGTTTATTTTTAATTCCAAATAAATTACATACTCATTTCTGGTAATGAAGAATCGAAATGAAAGAGAATTTCTTTCTTTTTTTTTCCTACCGTGTCGAAAGAGAAATTTTCATCAAGAACAGAATTAAACTAGACTATTCATTGCCATTGGCAAAACAATATGCCACCATCGAACTTTGTAATGTTTCATATTATAAAATGAAATTCTAAATTTTTTTATCGATAAAGGTAATAATAGACTGATGCATTTATGTATGCTTCTAAGTCAGTTTTTGTTATGAAATTTCAAAACATGAGATAATTTTTCCGTATATTTGTGATGCTTATCGATGAATGTTTCTTTTTTCATCAGATCTATTCTATGCTTGTTATTTTACTCGAAAAAACAAAATACTTTAATCATTTGACAATCTAAAATTAACAAAATGGTATTAAGATTGAACATTCATAAGACTAATATGAAATTGAAAGGAAGTGACGGTGTATGTCAGTATGTTCACATAAAATAAAAATGTCTCTGAATTATTCATAATGTTAATACAATGATAATTGTAACTAAAGTTTATAAGATGAACATAAGTAACAGAAAGAGTGATTTTTGAATTTCGATTTGAAACTTTGTATATTAAATTTTTAACAATATAACAAACTACAATGGGTAATCATGTCGATATATTATAACACGCGCGAAAGTGATTGATGAATCATATAGATGCTTGTAGTTTATTTCTGTTGATTATAAATGAATGGTGATTGTTTAAGATAAAAAACAAAAGATTTCAATCAGTGTATGTTATGGAGGAGTTATCATTTTTTTTCGTTGAATGGCCTTATCATATCACCACCGATTTGTCAACAAACTTCGAACATTTCTGTCAATTATTCTAAAATCATATGACCCTGTACGTTTATCTTTGTTTTCTTTATTATTGTTATAAGGTGCTGGAAATATCATATTAAAGCAGAATTTTTTTTTCTTCATTTTATATAGGGTTGGATAGACCATGATGAGCTGATCAAGAATATATGTGTTTCCATTTTTTTTTGGAATGATTTTTTAGGGGAAAAATTTCAGGTTTTTTTTCCCATGACCCACTTTTTATGAAACTACCGCGGAAAAAAATAGCGGAAATTGTATTTTTGATAGATATTTTCATTAATATTCAACCATGAAAAATATAAGTTTTTCAGAAAATTGTTTTGTCTAAAGGACTTTGTAGAGCTCGTTTCGCTGATCATTTTGGTAAAAAAAAGATATTCAAATTTGTCCAATAAATAACGGAGTTTGGATCAAAATACCCAAAAATATCAACTACTACTTAGCAGCGATCACAAACGGTCGAAAGTTTTGAGTATTTTGATCCAAACTCCGTTATTTATTAGTCAAATTTGAATATCTTTTTTTTACCAAAATGATCAGCGAAACAAGCTCTACAAAGTCCTATAGACGAAACAATTTTCTGAAAAACTTATATTTTTTATGGTGGAATATTAATGAAAATATCTATCAAAAATACAATTTCCGTGGTAGAATGATTTACCTATGTTTCATAAAAAGTAGATCATGGAAAAAAATGAAGTTTTTCTCCAAAAACACCCATCCCAAAAAAAAGGGAAACACATATATTGTTGATTAGCTCGCCATGCTCTATCCAACCATATAAAAAAGAAAAAAAAATTCTGCTCTAATTTTGCATATCCGACACTTTAGATAAGATTTTATTTATTATAGTTTGGTGATAAACTTCTTGAACATTTTCGTTTAAATCCATATTATCCATTTACATCTACTCAATCATTTACATTTGAATATAAATATCGTCGTTGGTCAACAATTTATTTCTTAATTATTATACAAATATTAATATTTGTATTAACTCTATATTCTTATTATAATTTTCATATAAATGAATATTGGATATCAGGTTCAGAATTTCTATTATTATTTATATTTGGACTTTTAACAATATTTTTATGTTTAAATCTTTTTGAAAATTTCAAACAACGACGCATTGTTTTATCTCCAATTGATTTTCATGTCTCAATCTATATAAATAATATATTAAAACAACAATGTTCAATTGATCATGTTTATATATGTTTACATGAAATTAAATCTTATAATATACTTCTTTATCATCTTGTATTTATTATAGAAGATATTGATTTTATTAAAATAAGTGATTATTTTTATTATAAATTTCAATTACGACAAATTGGAAAATGTTTAGCAAAAAATTTATATATTAGTTATTTAGAAAGTCAATATTGGATTGGTATATTTCCTAAATATAAAAAATTAAAAAATTATATTAAAAATAAACAAAAACAACAAACAGTAAATCGAAATCATAGATCAATGATTCAAAATAATGATAATTTTCAACGAAAATGAAATATTCAACCATATACAATTATCAATTTATGATATTGTATTATCTTTTTTTTTTTTTTTTTTCCTTGGTATTTAGAAGAAGAGATCAAGTTATAAAGAATATTATCTTAAAAATCAAATTATTCATGATTAACAGTAATTGTTTGACAATGATAAATAGATTTAACTGATGAAACAAAAAAAAAGCCACTTGAAATATTCTTAAAAGAGGCGGTGTTCGTGTGATATAAATGAACAGTAAAAAAATATGCAAATGAAGTGAGTTATAAAATTTGCACATCAATTCAAGATGAATATGAATGAACATATATGACTTTTGTCGAATGAATGTGTACATACGTTTCTTTGCAGTTCTTAAATATATATGTTTTTTTTCTTAGCATATATTTATGTCAGTTCAGCAATTGAAGAAAAGGTGATAATAGATTTCATGATTGAGTGTTATTCTAGTGACCGCTGTGAGCATTTTAAAAATGTTTATCATCGCGATAATGATTGGAAGTTGTTCATGAAGAATAATACAGTTACGTATTCTTCTGCAATACAAATAATCTAATTCTTTTTTAAAATTTATTTTCATAACTTTGCACTGAAAAGTTAAGCATGCAAAAAAAAATGATAATGTGAATGAGAATGAAGAGAAGATAAACACTCACATACATCCATTGATCTTTCAATAGACGTCATATTTACTTTTATTCTTTTTGTTTTTTTGCATGTTGAATTTTCCTCGTGCTTCGGTATCTGTGCTAATCGTTCCCGTTTCCCTATTTTATGATAAAATTATCAAGAAACTTTACACTTTGATCATGAAAAGAAATTCATCTGTAAGGAATTTCTTCGTTCAATATCACTGTATACCACGCGATTCATTTTGAAATTTTCATTATTATGTGTTTATTAACAATGTCCCAAAGTCATTATATCAAAGATCGTTTATCTTATACTGCTAAGCAGACTTTCTTTGAAGAAACGGTATTATTATAAAAATACTTCTGTAAAAAAAATTACAGTGGCATCTAGAACCCATCGAGTTGATCCCGGACTCGGTCGAGTCTAAAAACTTTCAACCCGATGGGCTTTATTCATTTCTCAGACGACTCCTCAGAGAATATCTTTCGGGCGGCTACTCTCTCCCGATTAGAAAATTTCATTAAAAGTATCAAAGTACTGTTTGATTGGATCCGACGGACTCTAGCAGCGTCCTACTTTTTGTGTTATTCAAATAACTTGATAATAAAGTTGATGATATCAATAAATCCGGTCATCTATTCACGTTCATCAGGATTTATTGTCTGTTGATTAATTCGAACAAGAGAAATGAGTAGTGAGTCTTCTTTCAAATAACCAACGAACAGTAATTAATGACAAGATCTTTTCTTTTCAAGGCAGAAATCGAATTTCTAATGAGCTATGATGAATAGATTTCTTATCAACTAATGTTTCATTTATATGGATATCATGTAATTCTCTATCTATTTACTAATCTATAAATTCATAAGATTAAAATATTCATTGCATCATTCTGCGCCAAGTTTAGTTTACCACTGAGAAGAATACAACAACGAAAATGAAACATAATAAATTCTCAGGATTGAAAAAGAAGAAAAAAAAACAAAATCGACAATAATGAACAGCAACGATATAGTCAAGTAGATAAACGTTTAAAGTACAGTTAGTTTTCAAGAAGAAAGAAAAAATCAAGACACAAAAGACGTGAAAATAAGATTTAATATATGTGCACAAGAGAAGCATTCGACATCAATAATTCTGTTTCTTTTTTTTTTAATTCTACGAATTTAAAAAAACAACAACAAAACACCACACATATATATCTTGAATAAAGACAAAACTTTTCAAAAAAAAAAAAGAAAAAACTACATCAAGAATATTTATACGAAATGTTATACATAATCAACAAATCAATACATTCTTTTTCTTGCTTCTATTTATTTAACAGTAATCATCTTCTCAGCAATAACCTAAATAACACAAAAAAAGGAAAATTATTTATTAAATAATATATAAAATTAAAACTTACGCGTCCTTCGGAATCTTCCAAAATTGTTTTTTTACTTTCATTACCAGTTGTAAACCATTTTGTTGTACGTAATTTTAAATTTGTTGGTGGATCAACCGAAATATCATTAACATCCGAACTCCAAATCTACAAAAAAAAAAAGAAAATAATAAAGTTCATTTAACCCAAAGAAAGAAAACTTCATCCTACTGTCGTTGTAGCACCAGCTTTAAGAACCATTCCTTTAGGAAATTTAAATTCATATGATTGTGAACCAACTTTTCGTTTAAGTATCCATCCATTAAAAGAAACATCTTGTTTACAATTATTAATTAATTTAACAAATTTTGGTTGTGAACTTTCATCATCAACAATATTAATACCATCAAGTAATTGTGTATTTATTGATGATTGATCATCAAGTTCATAACGTGGACGTTTACGTGATGGATATGAACTACTATCAAATGTTGTTGATGTCGTCATACTTGATCCTTCCATACGTGATGCATTACCAGATATATTAAGTCTAAATATTCAATAATAAGTTCTTTTTTAATTTAAAAAAGAACAAAAAAAGGAAAATTTTTTCTTACCGTTCTTCTTCGGATTCAAGTAATTTTCTATATGTTGAAATTTCTCGATCAAGACCAATTTTAATATCAAGTAAATTTTGATAATCCATTTGCATTTGTTCAATTTGTTGTTTTAAACGTTCAATATCATGATCACGTTCAGCTAATAATTCATCTTGTCGTTGTTGTACACGATGAAGACGATCTTCCAAATCACGACAACGTTGTTCAAGTGTTAAGACTTTATCATTTAATGCATCACGAGTTTTCGTAGCATCTTCCATACGTTCACGATATGATAGTAAATCACCACGATATGTACCAAATTGATCAGCATTACGACGTATTGTTGTTTGTAAATCTTCTATTTTTTTTTCATATTGACTAGCTATTTCATTACGCACAGCTTGCATTTCTTGTTCAGTTTGCATACGTAATTCTTGTAATTCATGTAATAAACGATCATCATATTGTTGTCGTAAACCATCATCATATGATTTTACTTCATAATGTCTTTGTTTACGAATTTCTTCAACAGCCTAGAAAGAAAATTAAAAAACTTTTTTTTTTATATATAAAAATAAAAATATTTGTTTATTTACCGTTTCATGAACTTGTTCATTAAATTGAAGTTCTTCACGTAAAGTTTTATTTTTATTTTCAAGATCAATACGAAGAAGTGTTTCAGCTTCAAGTTGACGTTTTAATGCATTGACTTGTTTTTCAAGATCATTATTAACACCACGTAAAGTCTTCAAATAACAAATATACATAAATAATAAATGAGCTACACAGACGATGGTAGAGCCCGTCGCGTCAAAAATTGTCAGGTTCCGAAGCTGATTTATTGAACGTTCTTGGGATCCAGTCAACAGAAAAATTTTAGACTGGAATATGACCGAGTCCGGGTCTAACCCAATGAGCTGTGGACTGCAGTTATTTCATGTTACTATAACAGCCCAATCGAGTTAGACTAAGGAAAACACTCGTATACATTATTCTATTCAGAAGATTTTATCTTAGCCTGTAAGACGGAGAAAATGTATCGCATCTTGTCTCTTGAGAATAAAATTCTAAATTTTATCTGATAGAAATCGACAGAGTTTTCTTTCGTCAATCGTATATGACACTCTAGTGAGGAACAAGATTTTCCTGTAGGAATGGTATCAATAGTACTTTCTTAAAATATCATCAAGAACACGATATCACTTTATTACACAAACTTTGCATGATTCTACATTGTGTGATCGACGAGTGTATGCATGTTTGTAATAATGCAAAAATGTTTCCTTCTATTCGAAAGAACTCTATCAGATTTTATATTAACCTTGAATTTTTCTATTAATTATTCGTAATCTTCAACTACTGTTAGCAAATCCAACAAACAACTTTCTACTTTCTAAATAATCGTCTTAGATCAAATTATGCATAAGAGAGTCAATATCGATTGACTTTGTTTCCGAGATAATCTTTGTATTATTATTTTATTTATAAAATCTAGCAAGCATTGTTATTTTCAAACTTACCACATTCTCATCTGTTTTTCGATTAGCATCATATCCAAGTGCTTCATTACGTGCTTTTAAATCTCCAATTTCTGTTTCATATTGTTTCAAACGACCTTCAACAGAACGTAATTCACGTTCTTTTCGAGCAAGTCTGAAATAACATACATATTCGTAAAACAAAAATAAACAAAAATATACGTACTTAGCTAAAGCATCTTGTGATTCAGCATTCGACTTTTCACCATTAATTTCTAAACGTGATTTTTCTCTTGCAAGTTCTTCAATTAATTTTTTTGCATCTTCAAGTTCACGTTCATACAATTGTTTAACTTTAGATGTTTCAACTTCATATGTATCGCTATATGATGCAATGATATTCTAACGAATTAAAATTTTCAATTAATTCTTTTTTGCAAATACAAAAAAAAAAAAGAATTTACCTTTAATTCTCTATTATCTTGTTCTAAACGACGTACAGTATCAATATAGACAGCCAAACGATTATTAAGAGTTTCCAATTGTTCCTTTTCTTGTGCACGAGAAAGATTCAATCCACTTGTATTAGCCGATGATGAAGTATTACGACTTCGTAATGAGGATGAAGATCGAGTTGCCATCTTACTTTCAAAATTTTTCTTATTTCAATAGTAAAATTAAACGATTTATTCAATTAGAAATTACGTCAATCGTCTGAAAGAAGAGAATTAGCAGTATTTAGAAATGTAAAGAAAAGAAAATTCTTCTTTCCAGTTTGTGGTTTTGCGGTCAGAAAGAAAAAAAAACATCCGTTTCTCTCTCTGTGTCTAATATATAGGAGATCATGTTTGACAGCTACTATATATATGGTGATATTTCACTAATGATGGAAAAATAAGAAAAATATGTTCAGACATATAATTATTTACTTTTCTATTGTTAATAGGTCATCATTCTCATTCGTTCTTCACAATGCTCACGATTCTATGAATATAGATAAAGGCGACATTGTTCGTTTACAACGTGGAAATAATTGAAAGGAATGAATCATTCAGCGCTACAATCAACATAAGTTTATATAGAATGTAGCGCTAGATAAAATGAGTAATAATTATAGTCTTTGTTTCATTTTGAGCAGTAAGCAGCAAGTACAGACCTCGATAAATGATGCATATATTAAATATAGCAAATAAATTTAATTAAAACAAATTGAAAAGTTTAATATATATTTAATGATAATTTTCATAAAGAAAATATAGAATAGCACAGATGGCGGTAGAATACAGATTGACTTTGAAATAGAATCTTAATTCTTAAGTGAAATGTTATATTGCAGAAGTTTTTGTCTGACATGAAAATGATGAAATATTTTTCTAATAACATACTATTTTAATATATCTCGTGCTAGTTATCATTTACCGAGATTTTCTCACAAACTAAATGATAGCAACTAAGGAAATAACTTACAGTATAAGAATGGAATAGATATTTACAATTGATGAGAATCTAGCACGAATACGATGCATGACCACAAACTACTATATTGTTTGATTCACAATAGTTTCAATCAATGAAAATTCGAAAAAGTAGAAAACATCATTATGAAGAAAGTGTTGTTGGACATGGTTCCCATTAGCAACAAAAATTTTGCATATATATCCTAGTGTAGAATTTTTACTTGTTTACTCAAATTTGACGTGCATAGACTTAATTTTTAGCTCCAAAAAGCAATAAATGTCTTTCATTAAGTTTTTTATGATTTCAAAGCTTTCGTAGATCCTTAAGCCTAATAATTTAATGGCGAAAATAAATGTAAATATTTCTGGTCATATTTCGTATATTCTTTGATTTCAACATAAACCTGAACTCAATTGTTGCCTCAACAATTATCAATTAATACTCGAAAACAGGGCATGGATGGATGTGCGGATGTAGGTGAATATAAGGATCAAGAGAGGATTTGCACCCTCACACGCACGCACATCCACACCCACACCACACGCCAACACCCATATACCCACCCACATCTCACTCACAGCCATACCCTCACACCCACACCCTGAAATTTTCAGTGTAAATAGACTCCAGTTAGATCTATCACCCATGAACATTTTTGTTTATTTCGCCTTAGTCAAAGCAGAGTTTTTTTCGAAATAGTGATCATTACGGAATTTCAAAAAACTGAAAAAGATATTTTGCTTCATGTGAAAATGCCGTAGTATGACTAAAAGTAAAAATTGATCTTACTTGAGGCTACAAAATCATTGTAGTTGTTCTTTGAAATAATGTTTTTTTTGTGTAATTTTATGATGTGTATTTTAGTCATCTGTTGTGCGTATTCTGCTTGTTTATTTTCAATAAGTGTTTTTTTTAGGTTGCAGCAATTTTTTTTTGTGCAAAAGCAGGAAAAAAATAAGTAAGACAGAGATATAATAAAAATAAATTGCTGGTTTACATTTCAAATGAAAAAAAATAGCACGCTTTCATAGAATCACTAAACGAAAGAAAAAGAGAAAGTTAGATCAACTGATAGTTTTTATAATTTAGAAAATTTAATAATACGCGCAGCACCATTGTCTGAGACATATAAATTTAATTGTGAATCTAATGCCACACTATATGGAAGAATGAGACTACTACCAGATCCAGCAATCGTAATGCCTGTCGAACTGCCATTACAAAACAATTGTATTCGAACATTTGTACGATCGGCAACATATATGTTGTTCCATCGATCTAATGTTAAATCCACTGGAAAACTTAAATAAGTGGATGATACTCCAGAACTTCCAGGAACACCAGCCAGAACGGTGCCATTCGAGGCACCAACACGCCATTTCACCACTGTATTTGCAATACCATTAACGATATATAAATCTTGATTTGTTTCATCAAAAAATATACCAGAGGGCGCAGATAATTTATCTGGTGTTGTACCTACCGATAAAAATGGAAAGAGAAATGATTATTATCTTATAAATGTTGATTTTGAGAAGATCTGACTATCAGATGAATAGTTTATGCAGAATGATGAGTTATTATCTTGCGAAATGAAGTGAACAATGCAGACAATTAAACCAACGAGAAGATACAGTAAGCATCAGGGTTCTAAATGGATCGCGTACAATGTTTTATCAAATGTGACGGCTAAGAAGCGGTGTCCCTTCGTAGATCGAGTTGATCCTTCCGGAGTTCGTTATCATGATGCCACATACTGTACGTTTGCCCTCCAGAAATTTTAAATCGTTCCATTGAAAGAACAAAGTCGGAATAAAATACTGACCTCGCGGCTCGTTAACTTTATCCGATCCCGCTTGGTGAGCTGTCGACTTCGAACTTAACTCTTTTACTCAAGCAAGATTGATACTTGTTGTAACTGATAACAACCAGGAAACTGTACTATGCAAGCAGCGTCGACACAAAAAAGATTTCGTTTTTTGAAGAACTTTTTAATGTACTTCTTAAATGCTGGAGAAGTTTACTCAATTTAATAATTCTATTTGCTTTGTATAAAACTCGTGTCATCTATTCTAGTTAGTTTTCTATTGAAAATCAGAATACGCGAATTCATTTATGAAAGAATTATTTTCTGAAAGGTATACCATTGAAATGTTGAAATACAATAGAGAGAGATTTTGCTTCATTTCCATATTCCTTTCAATAGTCATAGGAAAAGTAACATTTTCGAAACGAGAATTTGACAGAAAAAAATAGTTAGAATAATAAAATAGTTTGTAGTCAATGTTCTTAAGTCGATTTTTAAAGCTGTTATTATGCAAAAAATATAATTTTAGATGAAAATTACTTTGTACATGAGAATTCTTCTCGTCGTTTTTTTAACGCTCTTTGTATTTCTTATGAAAGGCATCATTCAAATAGAAGAAAAAATGTTGACAAGAAACAATGAAAAATTTCAATATCTTTTCGCTCTTTGATTGATTGATACTTATTCGTCTTTAAATATAATTTTATCAACAAACTGTAAATTAGCCTTTTCCCGTCCGGTTTACCTTGTAAATTTCCACCAGCGACAACAACTCCTACTTTTGCACCTGAACTCCATCTTGTTACGCGATGATTGGTAAATTCTGCAACAAATACATTTGAACTAGAATCCACCCATACACCATATGGAGTTCTTGTTTGATTGAGTGATGTTCCAGAAGTGCCATCGCCGGCTACTATCACCCCCATAGATGCACCATTTGCCCAACGCATAACTCGATTATTGCTTCCATCACTAATGTAAATGTTTTGATTTGAATCAACATAATTAAAACGTGTGGATCCACCAAGTTGATTCGATGCAGACCCAGACGTACCTGTACCAGCTATAAGGATACCACTAGTGGCACCAGACAAATATTTCAGTGAACGATAATTGCCACCATCATTTATATATAAAATATCACTCGAATCTATGAATATACCAGTTGGCGAAGATAATTGATTCAAAGCAGATCCTTGCGAACCATTTCCTGCATACGTGACACCAATTGTATTCCAAAAAGTTCCACTGGTACCTTAAAACGAAGAAGAAAAACGTACAGTTTTAAGATTAAGTGAAACTTGTTTGCCTATATATACGTACAAGGATTTATCAATGATGTAGCGGCTAAAAAATTATATGCATGTGATTAAAATAGAGATCTAGAACAGTTTTATGATCATGGAGGAAGATCTGAGCTGATCGAAAGCTGTTTAACTGAAAAATATAATGCTTGTATGTGATGACTGATCAATACTACAATTAGACTAACTTTCACCGTTAAACTTGACATCTATCTAATATTATATTCAGTCTCAGACTTTTTTCAAGTTTTCAAGAGGAACAAATATATTGCTTTTTCTCCTATATCTCTGGAGTTTTCATCATGACAGCTGTAGCATTCTGATCAAAATCAATGCACTTCACAAACTAAGCATAGAAGTTTGAGAACAGAAATACTAAGATTTTTTTAAAAATCATATATTAACAATGGCCCAACGTCGAGAGATCATTGATCGGGTCGAAATTAACTCATGGATAATCAATCCAATGGATTATTGGCATCGTTGTTGATACCGATACGAGTCATACTTCAACTTTTTAACCGTAATAGGTCAAACGAAGGTGAAAGACTTATATGTTTTTATCACAATTGTTAGACTGTCTAATTTGTGCAGATAAATTCCAAATGTTAGAATTTTTTTCTACAATTTATTCAATGTTGAGAATAAATTCTCTTATTAAATTTTGTTTTAACTTTTTCGGTCGTTAAATTTTTAAAATTTGGACTTATCTATTAAACGAAGTTTCCTTTGCTTTGTCCAACAGCAAACGAATGAGAGCTGCCCAATTCCAAATTTCGAATATATTCGACATCGACCAAAGCTATATTTTTGATTGTTAGACTTTATTAGGTACATGCAGAAAAATGAAGCAGCAACACTCTCAGCCTTCACCCTCAAGATACCTAGTCGGTACAGAAAAGTAATTCCTATGTCTTACATGTCGTTGTTATTATTGTTGTCGTTTCTGTTGCTTTGGGTTTAATCAAGAGCGCAAGCAGAATTACAATACCTATGCCAAGAACTAGAACAGCAATCACAGATGCTATTTTACAGTAACGTGGACATCTACAACGGATGTTAATGAATGAACATGTATACGATCAATAATAAGAAGGAAAATACTGACTTTTTCTTTTTGTTTCTTTTTGAATTCTGATGATAATCTTCTGTAGTACCTCTTCGATCTGGCTCTGCATCTATCGTCTGTTTTCATTCGAGAAATGAATTTGCAGAAGAATACAAAAACGTAATTATTTGTCTTACTTTGATATGATGGAAGTTATCATCAATACTCTTGGATGATTTTGATGGACATTTTTTAGTTTTAAAGATTGTTTGATGACTGTATTCTCGATCATTTTCAGTTCTTGCTGAGTAATTACTTTGTAATTGCAAGTTTTTCTTCGAATCATCGTTTTTCCAGATGTTCCAATTTGACTATCATGAAAAGTAATGTGAGTAACATGAATGAAATAATTTGTTTTCGGTAATTTTCTGTTTTCTTTTTTCTTACTTGAGACCGTAAAGGATAAACTCTATGGATTTTACTGGTACTGACAGGACGTCTTGTAATCTCTGATCGTTTTACTGGACTTTTGCTGATCGACGTTCTTCTTGATTTATCTCGATGATGATGTTGATCAACACTCTCGGGATCTGTGAAACGAGTGTTGCTTTTGCCTCGAATAGTTGCATGAATGATATTCCTGAATCGTGACTTTAACGATGCTGGATAATGACGCTGAATTAGCCAGACAATATGAACAATAAGAAATAGTTTGAAAGACCTTACTCGACTTTTGAGTGAGCGACTTTGTCGATGATGAGTAAATTTTATGATACTTGCTTCGATTGATTGAACGTCATCTAAACGACACGGTGAATACAAGTCGAACATATGGCATAAAGTAATAACTACCTTTTTTTAATTGTGTGCTACTCTGATCTGTCGTCATTGCAATTAATTTCTCAGTTGTCATGAAAAAGACTCTTATTTGTTATTTTGCTGACAAAATGAATGTACGCATATGCATATATCTGGCTTCTCAGGCTTGATGCATATTTTTAATTATATGACAAGTGAAATATTATTATTTTATATTTCTCTTTAGCAAACAAAGAACAATACATTGTGTACAAAAGATAGCTTGTTTCTACGCACACTATTTCTGGATTCTATTAACCAAATTTTTTATTAAAAAAATAACATTTCATTCAAGATTCATTTCATTTTTAATACAAATATATCTGTATGTATGAAGCCTTGAAATCAAATAAAAATTTGTTTATGCCCGCTCGGCCCTATCTCGGCTGATTATAACGCGATGTCTTTTACAGAAAAGATTTCTGCACGATGAAATTCAACACCCACTTTGGTAGTTTACCAGAACATTGTAAAAAGTTTATAATCATGTTCATCACGTTTCTAATAAGCTCAAACAATTCGAATGCTTGTATAACAAACATGAAAAATCAGATAAATTAGGGTGTGTGATGCCGGTTTGGAGTGTGGGTGTGGGTGTAAGTGAGTATAAGGATCAAGAGAGGATTTCCACCCACACACAATTTATGATCTGTGAACTCTTTCATCCATCTATGCTTTTTGTATTTGTATGAATATTTATCACTGAGATTCGTCTTCTGCTTATTATATACATATACTAATAATGTTAATCAGATCTGCTCGTTTAAACTTTTTTTGTTTTACTTCTGTTGATTCTATGTCTATTATTCATATTTTAGTTACTGAAAATCGTTTTATATCTTCAACGGACGTTGCCGATTTATCATCCTACGCAAACAAAAGCGATTTAAATTCTATATCATCATCATCAACTTCATCTTTTGGTTTAATCCTTTTGCGAGCTGCTGAAAATAGAGACACAGATATCAAATCAATTATTTTTTTTAATTCTATAGATAAATTAAGAAAAAACTTCTTGTAGAACAATTGTTGAAGTTTGTTAAACTTGGATCTAATCCAAATAGTCAAATGGTTGATGGAAATACATTCCTTCATCTATCTGCATCTAATGGTCAAATCAAGTAGAATCTTTCGAATAAATTAAACATCAAATATAATCTTTTCTAATTTAGATGTATTCATCATGTACTTAAATTTGGTGCTATCCATTAGTTGAAAATAATCTTGGTTTAACACCATGGAATAATTTATCGAAATTAAATGAAACAATTGAACTTGAATGTTTACAAATATTGGTTGATATTAATCAAATTCTGGTGAAGAGCTTTATATGATCATAATAATTAATTATTATTTTTTATATATTTTAGCCATCTATAGGTCTGATTTTCAATGCTATTGTACATAATCATATTTATACTTATAATATATATATATATATATATCTTTTAGAGAACATTTTAATCGTTTACAACATAAAAGTGAAATAGTAAATTTATATTCAATAGAAGAGAATAATAACCAACAAATATTAATTCTTGAAACAAATTGTGAACAACTTAAAGATGAAAATAATCAATTAACAAATGATCTTTGGTAAATAAAATATTTATTATTCTATTTCATAAAAATCTTTTGTTTTAGAATGTAAAATTAAAAAATTCTTAAATTAGAAACTACACTTAAAGATACAAAATCATTAGCAGAATATGATACTGAAATAATTGATCTTTAAAAAATCACTTAATCGAACATGAACACGTCATGAAGAAGAATCAACACGAACAGAAGATCAAATTGATGAATCACAAAAATGATTAGATATAACTGATAAATATAAAAGTTCTATTTTATTTAAATAAATAAAAGATATTGAGAAAAACAAATAATAGAAAAAGATAAAATTCTATCAATAAAAACATTTGAAATAAATGCAATGAAAGAATGTTATATAGAATATTTAGAAAAAACTAAAATGATCTTACGGTAAATTGAGCCACATATTTAAATAAATTTGTTTTATTTATTTTAAAAAATTTTTATTTTATGGAAATAATATGATAAAATGAAAAAAATTAAAGAAGAAAAAGAAAAATTATTTATTAGTGTATGATATTCATTGGTAAGATTTGGTTTTTAAATAAAAATAATTTAAATATATTTTTTTCTATTTATCTTAGGGTAATACATTTCAATAGCGTGAATTTGAAAAACGATAAAAATCTTGTGAAAATCAATCATATCTTTTTGAATAATGTAATATTTCATCAATACGTAAAAAATTACTAACTGATCCGTCCAATTTGTAATATGCACTATTCACTTCAATTATTTATGTACAATGAATAATTTTTTTTTGTCAGTATTAGAAAAATAATTTATTATGAATTTTATACATGTTAATATTTGCTTTTTATAATCAAATAAATTATATGAGCCATGTCATGCAAAACGGGATATACCGACCCTTCATTTAACTTTGATTCCTTATAAGGGTGTTTTTTTCTGAATAGAATCTATTAGCATAAACATATATAAAAATGTTGGCTCTTTTAGCTGATGCTTATTTAAAATTAATTAATTAATCAACAAGTAATTAGTGAATATCTCTTGAACAATATGAGAAAAAATCCAAAAATTTCGGGATAGAATGTACGATATGAAAACTACATATATGGTGAAATTTTCAGCAAGATAGGACTCGAAAAATTCTCCTCTTAAAAAATTGTTTTCTAGAGACCTCATCAGATCCCAAAACAAAAATATCTATCTTATATGATTGCTGGAAAGTCTTTTGATATGACTGCGTGTGCACCTTTGCAGTTTCGGGTTAGAGGTATGCCTGTAAATAAGATTCTAGCTGGTTCATCAATTGCGACTAAGAAATATTTCTTGGAGGGTATTCAGTATTCTATGCTATCGTTGCTATTGGTTGAAGATACCTCGCGTAAGATTGGTGTTCGTGGTAGTTTCATATAAATAAATTTACATTCATACAGGTGAAGATTTATTACCCACAAAACTTTATTTTTTTATTATATTACTAATTGATAACGTGGAAAATATTTATCAGATATACGAATGTGTGTTTTTGATATGTTTCATATCAAAAGCAAATATAGTATGATAAATATTTGCCTTTCACTATATACACGACAACAATAATAACAAGAAACTTATTTTTATAGTCAAATGTCAAAAAGCAAAGAATTATTTCGATTTAGTATATTGCTCACTAATAATAGAGTTTATTCGAGAGAATTTTCAACTATACGGTATTATTTTGAAAAATGCTAATATTTATGTTAAGAAATGATATAAAATCTATCTAGGAATTATTTCATGATCTTGAAGAAAGAAAGCAGAGAGTGATATATTCGCCATAAAACTATGAAATGCTGTCTTCTTTCATTTTATGACACTATTGAAGAATGTTGTTTTTGAATTGCGTCACAACTAATTATTTATCATAATTTTCCAAAAAAAAGCAGCGACAAAAAGAATATTGATCGAAAACTCAATCTGACTAAATGAAAAAAGAAAAAGAAAATCAATTTGCTCTATTCAATTTTTGTGCAACTTTAAATTGGCTCATTATTAAGTAATAAAGGTTCATCAATTGATGCTCTTTCAGCTGCAACAACAATACGTGTTGCACCACAAACACTAGCCGGTAATAGAAGAAGAAATGCACCTGGAATTAAAAAAATAACTTCCAAAGCTAAACCAAAACCAAGTGTTGCCCATAAATAATGTCTAAACCATGGTGTACGTTCTCTTACACCGAATAAATGTAATGATAATGGATAATCAATTATATCATATGCAATAATAAAACCAGTTGTAATAAATTTAAGTGGAGTTGTTATTATAACAGCTGGTGGAAAAAAAAGTTCTATGGATGTTAATATAATAAAAATAAAAAATGAAATTAATAATGAAATAATAGCTATACGTGTACTTCGCCATACACTAGACCAAAATGATTCTTCTGATCGATTTGGATATTTTAAATGACGTTCTTGTGCACGTACTAAACTTTCAAGTGCTGGTGCACTCAATGGTTGAGCTGTTGTAAGTGCAATAATTAATGATAGACATATAATAACTATATAAAATGCAATACGAAGTAACCATATACCAATATGAGTCCAACGTGATGTAGATTTTTGAAATAAACGATATGTAATTATATTCATTCCCCATATACCTATTGTAGCTAAAATTAAAATAATTAATGTAAACAAAATAGCAGGAACTAATGCACGTGACCAAGTTGATGAATGTGTTAAAAGAAAATGAAAACCTTGAAATGGTGCAGTTATACCAGCAATAAAACCAGGTTTGGCAGATTTTTCACGATTTAAATCTGATAAAATTTGATTTTTTAATGATTGTCTATCATAAAAAACTCCATGGATTTTTGCTGAATTTTTTATTTCTGGTTTTGATTGTAATGTTGAAAGTATATAAACAGCTGATATTTGTTTTATTTGAATAAGACGATTTGTTGATTCAATTGGACCTGTAACAACAAGTGTTAAACCATGTAATGTTGGTGGTAATGAACATAAAAATTGATAACATGCATCTTCATTTGTAAATAGAGCAATGTGAGAACGAAGTTCATTTGGAATTGATTCATCTTGATTACTTTCTAACCAAATTACGTTTGTATTGGATGACATTTTTATTGGAAAGAAACCAAAATAACATTTATATTATTGTTGTATATATATTTTTACACTTTTACGTTTATTTTTTTTGCTTACTTCTCTTTTTTTCCTTTCTACTGCCAATCAGAATAAAGTATGACATCATCATCTTACTAACTGAGTGAGTTTATATGACAAAACGTTAGGCAAATAAATGACTTTGTCTACAGGCTAGAAATATAACAGTGCGCCACATGTTCAATGTATATATATATATATAATATATATTAACGAAAGATTATTTTTATTATAAACACTTCTCTTTTAGACAATACAATTGTGTTTGATCTATATTTATATCGAGGTATATTTCTTTTTGAATAGGAATATGAGACATTTGACATTATAACTTTAAATCCAAGAGAAAAAAAATATCTATGGCTTCTGATATTTTATTGATTCGATAAAAAAAAAAAGATGATTATGAAATTTATACGGGATCAAAAATAAATATCGAATGTGATAAAACTATTTCTATTGTAAACGAAAGAATTTTACCAGTATACCTTTTAGTTTCTGGACTATTACGTTGTGTTAATGCGTATTTCTCTAATCAAAGCAACATGTTAGTTGTGATATTCATTATAGACTATGTAACGTGAATTACTTGTCTGTAAAGACAAGATCAAGAGTGTTTTTTTATCGCTAAAGAATATAATATTTTTCAACAGTTGAGTTTTGCAGAACTTTTGTTGGATAAAAGATTCATTATTGCTTTATATACATGTATTATGAGAACTATAGTTAATTTTAGTAAGACTTATAAATTTTTCTGTTGAAAAGTTAATTTCTTAGATTATTCGACTACTGCATTATTTTTCCATTTTATATGCTTATTCATTTCTAAGCTTTGTTGATCAGTTGATATTTATAGAGATTATGACAAAAAAATAAGAATATTATAAAATATAACAATAACAGTTGTCATTTTATAGTAACGAACATAAGTTTAGAGCAGCTATACTTTTTATCTTTCTTATGGATTGTAAAAGCTGGAAAGAATATGAAAAAAACATTTAAGGATTCTCTATCATAGCGTCCTGCAAACAGATCAGGTGCCCGACAATATATGAGATTTTCGATGTTTCAAGATATATTTACTCTTTCAAACTGCTGTATATATATAAAAGCATAGAAATGAAAATCCGTTCGATCATGATTGATCAATTTATTTTACGTGAGAACGGGTCACAAAAGTGGAAAGCTATATTATTGTACTAAAAGAATTTGTTTTTAATGAAAATTCATCTACGGACGACGAGGAACCATGTGGCAAAGTAATTGAATACATGGAGAGAAAAACAAATTATCAAAAAGACATGGATGTATTATTGTGATGAAGAAAGCATACATATATATATTCACAATTATGATGTTTGACATCAACACTACGTTCCGTTCCAGTATTATCAACAACAAGCAAACGTATACTTAGCGAAATTGATCGGATTTTTGAAGAAGAAAGATACCAATTAAATCCTGAATCACTTGCTATTTTGTGGAATTTGAGATGATCTCTTTGTTTTTGTTGCTGTTTATAGAAGCAACTAAATAGTATAGTTTTTCATAGAAAGTAAATGTTTGAAAACTGTACTATAATTGTGAAAGTATCTGCCAGATGTCAATTAGCTCCAATCTCGACCAGGTCTGAGTTCGGAAAATCGTACTCGTACAGGACATTACTCTATTACGATTGGTAGACCTAAAGGGTCTAATAAAATAGCTTGAATAAGAATGTCTGAAGAGCCAAGACCCTCAAAATATGTTTTATGGCATCCATTTGAAGGTTTTTGGAAATAGTTTTATTTCATAGAGCGAATAGGTTCTCGTCACCGAACTACATTCAATTTACAGAAGATCCAAGAAGCATTTTTCTTTTATTTTTATGAAGAATTTCAATGATTTTGCCGTATTTGACACTTTAAGACTGTCTGTAAATTGAATGCAGTTTAATGAAGAGAGTATATTTATTCTATCAAAAAGAACTATTTTCAAAAAACTTCAAATGGATACCAGACAACTGGTTTTGGAAGTCTTGGTTTTTCATCCATCTTCATCCGAGTAGTTTTATTGGAATTTTTGGATTGACCAATCCTGAGGAAGAATGGTTTCAGCTATCTAAATGTTTTTTCCTTCATATTTTTTCTAGGTATTACCATCAAGAAGAAAACACAACCATATAGATGCTCTAAACTTACATCCGTCACTATACGCATATATATATATATATATATATGTATATTGAATATCGGTAAAAATAAAAAGACTGAAATACAAATAACTTTAACCGATCCGTCCAAAGCATGAATAATTGACTTCTTTTAGCATTGTATCCGGATTTAGTCCAGTACCAAAAACTGGTAAAAATCGATAAAAACATCTAAAAAATTAGATATTAATATAGTAAATCGATTATTTACAAAATTATCTTACTTAATTCTTATTAATGGTGAATTATATGGAGTAAAATCTAAATTCCACATACATGGTTGTTTTCTATTTCGATATTGATTATTGTTCAATGTTGGTATTCTTTCATTTTCTCTACTTGGTGATCGACTATTTATTGATGGTCGTCTTCTATTATTATTTATAGTTGTAGTAGGAGAAGAATCTTGCTTTCGATTTGATGATTGATCATGTTTTCCTGATGATGAATTACCACCTGTTAGAAGATTCAGCAATGACTATATAGAAAAGATGCTTGTAAAAGAATTTAATAAAACTTAAACAAAAAAAAAACAATGCATATTGATTATTTTTTTTTGGATTTGATTGGAATAGTCTAATACTTAAGGTTTTTTCCCTCTTTTTTCCTAAAATCAAATAAGAATGTTTACTTTTGCTGGTCGAAGTGTTCCACTCGATAATAGTCGATTTTTTCGATTTTGTTTTTGATCAACAACGTTACCAATATCAACACTTGATGGACGTGATAAAGGAATTTTATCTTTTTTTAGTTTTAATGAATGAAAAATACTCTTTCGACGCACCGATATATCTGAATTATAAAGATTAATTTGTGAGTTATTCGATTCATTTTCTGAATATTTATTTTGTTGATTTCGATTATTAAAATGTATTATAGAATCATCCATATTGTTCGACGATTGAAAGACATGTTTTGAAGATTGTTGTGTTTGTTCATTTAAACGATGACGACGATGACGTCGACTATCTTCCGATATAGGTACATTAGGTGGATATGGTTCATGTCGTTGTACAAAAGATGTTCTATTTATATT